AACCCATGGACTAAAACATCTGAACTTGACCCCTTTTCTAGATGATGGGAAGGAAAAGCTGAATTTCACTTTTAAATAACAGCTGGGAATAACTTTAAATAACAGCACATGCCAACTCTCATTAACCTGCTCTCCTCCCTCTTTCTGGTTCTTTGATTTAAAAGGGAGAAGTACAGGAAATAAAAGAGAAGAGGTTGCCTCTTCCTTTACAAATGTAGAGAGTAAAGGTGAAGCTTTGCTGAGATGCACTTAAATATTCCCAGCTGTTGCTGTTAATAGGTATGCACCCTCAAAACTTTCCTGAGTGAAGATTTTGTATGCAAAGAGAATACTACAAAAGCAGTGTCCATTGCATTTTCTCATTGCTGTGATCAAGGATTGGGCATGAAGCCAATAGGACAATGCCTTTTGCAAAACTAAAAGAAGGTTAAAAAGGAAAGCCTGAATAGAAAGCTGATAAATGATAGCACAGCAGGCACTTTGTCTGTAACTCACAGTATTAAGCTATTTTAAAATCATCCTTTCTACAGAGTTCCTAAAATTGAGTAATTTTCATAAAGAAATCATGGCTAACCCCATTGGTAAAATGATGATTGTGTTCAAGCATTGACACCTTCTGCCTGGAACTCAGAGTCTTTGGTACAGATCCTGCTGTGGCATAGCTGTGAAGTGGTTGCAGCCGAATTGGGCGTTGCATGTTTTCTGGTGCAGTGTTCGGTCGAGGAGAGAAAGACTGAATGAGTGAAATAAGAGTGAACATTTAAAAAAGGAGGTAATTTCCATAAATAATCCTATAAGAGGCTATTACAGATAAACCTCAAACCTGCAAACCTTAATCAAACTTTGCAGTTGGACATGGAGATTTGGCAGAGTTAAAGCAAAAGCAAATGATACCCAAAGAACAAGATGAACCTTGGAGTGCAGAATCTCAAAACATAACCATGCGAGCAGAGCAGCTCCTTCTTGCCTAACGAAATGACTGATAATTTTTGGGGCCCACCCTGAGAAGACTAATTTTCCAAAAGACCTGAAAATCTGAAGTGCAGGCCCCTTCAAGGGTCTCAGACAGAGTGCTCAAACCATTTCTGAGACTCTTTCCTATTACCTAGTTTTGCCAATGTAAGAACACAATGTAGTTCATATGTAGTTATAATGAGCTCTTAGGGGCCACCTCAGATGATCCTATATTAGACTTCAGTCCTGGGGCAAGGAGTCTGCACAGGACACAGGTTTTAATCAATAGTCAGCAGTTCTCTGACACTTTCTCTTTTATCTTTTCTTTTTATGCCCTGTAGAACACAAACGTTCAAAATTCTGAGCTTAGAAAACTGCTAAATATTGATCAAAACCTAACTTTTTTCTTCCCTGCAAGCTTACTCTCTAATTTGGTATTGACAGTTAAGGCCATTTAGAGGTCCATGGTCTGGATATGAGGGAAGAGAAGGCACAGGAGGGATAAGGACATTGAGGACTTGTCGAATGACTGGATTGGAAGAGACCTCAGGCATCATCTACTCCACCTGAGAGTCAACCAGTCCAAAACACTGATTCCGTGGGCGCAAATTATTACTACAGAAATGGAAAGCCAAATTTCAGCACTAATAATGATTCTGAATATTAGCCATCCCCTTAACAAAAGCGTAAACCACCTGCCTGGGCCAGAAACACTCCAAAGGACATCTCCCGTGGCATGTCATTTAGCACATCACCCCTTCTCTTCTCTCCCCCAGAAAAGCTTTAATTGTTTTTCTTATTTTATGATATATGCAAACTTGCCTAGAACTACTGCATTTACCCTCTTGTTGATAATACAGAGTGTACTGATACTGGTCTAATCATGGTTGCAGGTGAGAAAGAAAGTTTTAACATAGATTTATCATGAGGCAACACTACCTCATACTAAGCACAGCATCACAAAGAGATTCCTTTCAAAAGGCCTGACCCTGCTCCCACAAGAGCAAACAGGAATTTCCTCTACAACTACACAACAGTTGGGCCACAAGCATGGAGTAATTAGGGAAGTGAATGTCACAGACAAGAGGTCTGTGTTTATGAACATACATGTGGTAGGATCAGGAGTACTTGGCAGGACTTACCAATTGTGAATGACCAGATTGTTCTCCATCAACTAAAGGAGGGTGTCGATAATGATTTCTTGGAGCAGTGGGTGGGTGTGGAGAGAGCAGAAGATTAGCATCTTCCCCTGATCTTCTTGAACGTTCCACCTAGAAGAAGGGAAAGTGATGCATCTGAGCCTCTACAACTCCTTAAAGATCACTTTGCCACCACGGGGCTGGTCCCACCAAGGTGTAAGTGACACAAGGCAGCAGTGCTGAGTGCTCAGGGCCACTCTGGTCAAACAACCTTACCTTGATTCTCTGCACCCTCTCCTTCCTCACAACATTTTCCAGTTTTCTTTTTATTTCTAGCTGGTGATGACGCTATCAGGGCGATAGAGAAAGAAATCCCATTAATGACCACACCAACTGTCAATAGAAACAACAGGACTGAGCCTCTGGCTACTCCTTGTGGCTAGGGAACAGATATTCAAAAAGCCTTAGGCTGAAGGCTAGGGACAGACATTACACATAAAGTGATCAGAAACTGGTTTAAACCTGTAACAGAACGGATGCTCAGTGCACATAAACCAGTTTGAAAATGGCTGAAACTGGTTTGAGATAAACCTGGTTGAATCTAGTATCAGACTTAACTGATTTGGCTCAAACCATTTTATGCAATGTCTGTCCCAGATCCTTTGCTGGTTAGTATAACCTGGCTAGGCTAAATCAGTTAGTTTGTAACCCAACAGAAATCCCCTCTGGACTGAAAAAATGCAGGCAGATGCCTGCAGTAGCTCAGACTAGAAGCCAGGGGGCACTACAGCAGCCCTTCTTTCCCTTTACAGTGCTGAGCTAAGGGGGGCATGGCCAGGCCCCCAGGATGTTCTGGTTAGGGAGGGGTTCCCCCCTAACTCCTGACCAGCCCACCAGGGAA